GATAGATAGATCTTTGAAATTACAAATCTGCCATCTTTTCCCCATTGACACTGGAGACCCCTCTCCTGGCACCAGCACAAGCTCATCGTTGACTTTGAAAAGACCCAAAGCCTTTTGACTTTTGAGTTTGGGGGCCTGTAATACCTTGGAATGAGAGGTATCACATGGTAGTTGACTCTAGAGACAGACTGCCTATAATTAAATCTTAGTTCTTTGACTTATAACTGGGTGACCCTGGATAAATTGCTGAATTGCTTTCTGCCTGTTTCCTCACATGTCACATGAGGGTAATAATGATACCCCAAAGTGTAGCTGCAAGAATAAATGATGTCAGTATATGCCAGTGCTTAGAACAGTACTGTCAGGCAGGAAGCCCTCAAAGAATAAAGCCAGCTATTATTTTATGAGAGCTGTTATTGTTATTGTCACCATTCCTCCTTAAGTTGCCTTCAAATGAGTCTCCTTGAGGAGACAGGTGGTAGAGGTGTCTTGGTTTGAGCTCCCACAGGAGCAGTGTCTGAGACCTGAGGTTGGGTGCAATTTATTAGTCAGTGATTCCATGAGGCAGGAGCGAGGGAGCAGAGAATGCATGACAGAGCAGGGAGAGAAGCTGCTAAAATGTGCATGAGTGACGATGACAGTGGGAACCCTGGGGACACAAAACAAGCCTTTGAAGCCTCCCTCTAATAGGCTTAAGCAGTCTTTTCCCACTTCAAAAACAACAACTCTGCAGCAGAAAACTGAAGAGGAGCTGAGGTGGAACCCTGGCCGCAGGCACCAAACCCCTCCATAACTTGCCAAAATTGGGGAACGGGGGTGAACACATAAAGTGCAATACTGCCCATTGTCACACCCACACCCTTAGGACCAATGTTGCCATGAACACAGGGTTGCATAGACTCTTTCTGGTCGGTAACAGCCTCAGTGCCCATCAGTAGATGAATGGATATAAAAGCTGTGGCACATTTACATGGTAGAATACTATGCAGCTATAAAAAAGAAGGATTTATTAACTTTTGTGACAGCATGGATGGACTTGGAGAGTATTATGCTGAGTGAAATAAGTCAGTCAGAGAAAGACAAATATCACATGATCCCACTTATATGTGGAATCTAATGAACAAAATAAACTGATAAACAAAATAGGTGCAGAGGCATGGATGCATGGAACAGACTGACATGTCTTTAGGCGAGGGGGGAAATGGGAAGAGATTAACCAAAGAACTCATATACAAATATGCATAACCAATGGACACAGACAATAGTGTGGTAAAAGCCTGGGGTGGGGCAGGAGCTGGGAGGAGGTGAGGGGAAAGGGGGGTAATTGGGGGACATCTGTAATAGTGTCAACAATAAAATTAAATTAAACTTAAAAATAAATAAATAAGTAATTTTTGAATAAATGAACCTTCAAAGGTCCAATACAAATCTCTTGTACTTACGTGGGGCCTCCCTGTTTCCCTCGCCGTACTTGAATAAGGAAGGGTTCACCTTCATGGCCTAGAATAAGAATAAAGGCCATTTAAAGACTGCCTGAAAAGTAACTCATTAAAAAAAAAAAAATCCAAGGCTCAAATGGCAACTGTCCCCCCAGGCAGAGTAGTCAGGGCTGGGGTTGCCCTGTGGCCACGGAGGGACTCCGGTCACGCTGGAGAGGCTGGTGCAAGAGAAAGGGCGCGGGGAGAACTGGACGCCTGGTCTAGCCTTAATTGCAGTGTTTGGTTCTTTTTTGAGCCACCAAAGAGAGTTCTGACGATCAATTCACAGGCTGCTGCTTGGGGTCAAGTGTGGGACTTTTCTGCCAGGAGCAAAGCTTAGAGACAATTTGGGACACTATTCGGTTCTGATCCCATCCTGCCTATCCATCTACTGCAATGTCTGCCCCGTGCAGAGGGGCAGAGAAGCCGGCTAATGAGCCCAGTTCCACTTGGGGTGTCGTGCTCCCCAAGGTGCTATCACAGTGTGGTTCTCCGAGGCTCCAAAGAGAGGATCCACAGCACCACGAGGAGGCCAACAAAAAGGCCGTTGGTTGCTGTGTGCACCTGCAGGGGAAGCGGGAGAGGCCTGAGTCTTCAGATGTGGGAGAGGAATTAAGTGAATCCTGCAGCGGGTGGCAGGCGGAGGCAGGCCCGACACTGGCAGATTATCCACAGGCCAGGCCAGCCTAATGCCAGCCAAACATTCCCCGCACTGGGACGCTGCTCACTCAGAGCTGAGGAGGTTGGTGTCAGCCCGAGAGTAATGAGATGAGGGGAGCCAGACACAAGCCACTGGGCACAACCAAAGGGGTGGCCTTTAAAACACCTGCGTGTTGGCACCGCTGTGCTCCTTCCTGGAGGCTCTGGGGAAGGGTGTGTTCAAGCTCCTTCAGGTTGCTGGCTGAATTCGGTTACCTGCAGTTAGAGGACAAGGTTCTGTTTCTCGCTGGCTGTCAGCCAGGCTAGTTTCTGCTCCTAGAGGCTTCCCACAAAGGCATCCTACTCTTACCTGGAGAATCTAAGTCACTCTGACACAGAAAACAGCTGGACTTACAACTCCTGTGTGGACCTTCAAAAAGGGGTTGCTGGCCACACTATTTCACATTATAACTTCACTGTTTCAAAGGAAAATGACCCCGGTTTCCCTTGTGTCCAGACGTAATGCTGATCCCTTACACACCACGCTGCTCTGCTTCGAGCCCGTGAAAATGCTGCTTCAGTTACATTTCGCCTAAACTCCACCTTTCTCCAAAATCCTGTGATAACTAGTTATTATTTCTTTGGAAAGAGGCACCGCACTTCCTCTGGGGTGTGTCCTTCCCCATTGCAATGACTCAGTAATCTGACTTGGTAGGACTAGAGGCTTGTCTAAGGATGATTGAACTGGAACAACTTAAAAGTGCGTAATACAGAGTTTGGCACATGGCAACAACGATTTAATCTCATCTGTAGTAAAAAATATAATAATACTGTAATAATTATCATTATTATCATCAACTCTGGGTAAATAAAAGGCACTGATGCTGTGCAAAGGGTAGAAGCTGTGAATGAGCTGATTGGAAAAAACAAACAAATTGTATGCACCACGTCTGCAGAAATCCCTGCTACTGCTGAGACCTCCTGAGGGCAAATTTCCTCCTCAGAAACCATGTGATAGCACCCTTGGTGCTGGCAGGGCTGTTCAGACATTTTAAAGACATCTTCGACATGCAGTATGGCCCCAGGTCTACTCCTCCAGACTGTAAGTTAGAATAATTAAGCCACAGCATTTAAGCCTTTAAAATTGTTTTAAAATCAGCCCTATGACTGATGCTAAATGCAAAAATACGTTGATGTGTGATATGTTTCTGATTTTTTCTTACTAAAAATGTAAAAATTTTATATTTTAATAATAAGTATGGGTAATCTTAGCATAATATAAAAGGCTTTGGGCTTTGGGGGCATCTTTTAGAAACATGTCAGACTGGATTTGGGGCTCAATGAGGACCTGGTGAGGATGGAGGACATCAAGCATCTCTCATTTGAGTAATTAATATTAAGATAGATTTAAATGCATTCATCAAACACCCAGTTTTAAAGAGCTGAGTCAGTATCTGGCAATGTTTGGCACATAGCAGACTATGAATTATATTTACTGAATAAACAAATGGGCTCTGATATGTGCTTCAGACAGAATACCGCTCTCTAGAAATGTAGACATGAGAGAAAATACTGGGCCTCCAGACAATAGGGTAAAAATAGTATATGTATAAATGGACAAAAACTACCATAGAGCCACAGAAGAAGAAAAAGATCTGTAAAATTCAGGATAAACAAAGCAATCTAGCTCACTTTTATTGGAAAAGCTAATCATTTGCTGGTTCTTAGGTCAACAGCCCAGTCTTCTGTAAAGTGCTGGGTGTCCATTGGTGAATGTTGGATGCACAGATTTCTGCCCTGTATGGCTTCCTTCCAACCTTAACGGAAACGCAAGCTCTCTCCCGACTTCTTTGTATGAACACTTCTGATACTCACTTTATAGGGCCTTACTAAGTTAAGAAATAACTCTTATTCACAGAAAACACATAAACACGCCATTAAAAGTTAGGATATGCTCACAGCAACAAAACAAACTATATTTTAGTCATATATCCTACGTTTTATGGTAAATTCCTCCTCACAGAAATCTTAGAGGTACTATCACCTCCATAAAGTGGGACACACACCCCAATCCTCAAAGGGTGCATTTCAGAACTTTGAAAATCCTGATTCCCTATTGAATTTTGCAAAGAAATTGATTCTACAATCACAGAGAAAACATGAACAGTAACAGCAGGAACTTCCTTCTTTTGTTTCTCAGTCCCACCCATTTTGAAAAGCTCTCTGAGTTCTTTAAACATCAACCTGGTTTATGGAGTAGAACAAATGAGAGAGATAAACATTTCTGCCTGAAATTTCAGTTATAAAGAAAAACCCAGGTTCAGCGTCATTGTTATTGGCCAAATCCCTAGCTCAGGGTTGAAATGGCTTGTCTTTCTCTTGCCTGGAACAAAGAAAACAATTCTTAGTGATTAGGAGCAAATCCGAATCGTCCCATAAAACTACTTTTTTCTTTCACTTTTCTCCCTTCTGCTCTACCTTGCTATAATACAAGGCTACTGCCAATTTGGGGAAGATTTCAGTTAAAGTTCATTTAACACCTCCAAGGACATCGGAAGATATGTGGTACTTCCAAAACTATATCAAAATAACAATAAAATACAAGAAATTAGTTGTAGCTACTAACACATCTATAATGATAGTATGAAGAGTAGATGACTAAATCTCCTCTTTAATTTCTGTTACTTGAAATTAATTCTAAATAATTTACTACTCCGGAGAGTATTAAATATAGAACCAGCCTGAATTTTCTCTTATGGCACCAGTGCCACTGTATTTAGGGTGTGTGGATTTTTGAGCCACTTTCTGTAGCAAAAGCATATGAAGTGAATTCCTAGTTTTGCTCACACCGCACTCAAATGTATGGAGAAGGCTGGCATCTTTATTTCTCTAAAATTGACTTTATGCTTCTCACAAGTGCCACCTGCTGGCTTGTATGTGCGTGTCCTTAGGAATGTGCATGGAAGCTCGGAGGCATTCAAATTTTCATGGGCATTCAAAAGCAACCTTTTTGTTGAATATGTGCAGATATTTTAAGTGTACAGTTGCATGGGTTTTCACAAAGTACGCACACCCATGGAGTGCGTATCAAAAACTAGAACATCATCAGTACCCAGAACCACCTCCCTGTTACTAAACCTGCAGCGTAGGGTAATGGATATATTTCAATCTGGGAACCTCAGTCCGAGTCAATATTTTAAACTGTGCATGAAATTGTTCACTATGTAAAATGTTCAGTCTGTCGGATGGCAGCCCTTTCTCCCTTCTCTGCCCTCAGCAAGAGAGCACCTGAGTAGGGAGGCTATAGGCTAGAGGTAGCCTCCTGGTTTGGAGGCAGGAGGGTCTCGGATCTGCATTTAGAGTCCTCACTGGTTTGGGGACAAGAGTCTGTGCTCACCCTGCTGTCATCAGCTGCTGGCACCTGCGTCACTCAGGTAGTGCACAGCTGAGCAGTGCCCAGTTTCTGTTCCTGCTGCCTGGGCCCCCATCAGCGCCTCAGCTCTGGATGCTGTTCTGAATCCCTCCCACTGTATGGTCATGGTCCTGGCCCAGACAGTTCCAGATGGTACTTTTTTCTCTGCTGTAATGACCATGTTCCCAATTTTCTCCATTTCTCCCTCTAAGGGGCATGTGAGAGCACCTGGTTCCATTCTTGTCACACAGGAACTGAGGACAGCTTGGAACACCTGATGTTAAGCCCTCCCTATGTGTCTAAGTACACTTCACTGCCTTTAACGTCAGGAAGGTTTCTTTTGCCAGGGTCATAAATGGGAATGGGGTCTTGAAAAGAATCTTAGACATGCCTGATCACCTGTGTCCCCTGCAGGAGCACCACTGCCCATTGTCAGGCTGAAGGTGGCCGGATGCAGGGTTCTCTTAGAGACCTCTAGGCTCTCTCCAGTAGGCGTGGGAAGCAGACCACAGACCAGCACTCCTGGGCTACCCCAGAGCTATGAGTATAAACTTAAGGAAAGGCAGTCACGTTTTTAAGAATAAGAACTTTAGCAACTGTATGTTCCTTCCCCTGTATCTCTTCTCCTCCCTCTCCTTAAAGAAAACTTTGAGTATTTAATACAATAATCTTCAGGCTTTGCTTTCTTCAATATTATATCCTAGGACTGTAACCCTCTGACTGGGCTTTTCTTTCTCCACCCTGCATCCATTTACTGCTCACCTAGTGTCACAGACAGAAGGGATCTGGAAGAATATCTATCATCTGAGCCTCCAGGTCCAATTCCATCTGTTCAATGGGACCTAAAGGAATTTTAGGGGCTCCTTTCTCTCATAATTAAACCTGACTTTCAAAACCTTGTTTTAAAATAATAGCAACAATTTTACCTACCAGAAGATTACCTTCTGTTGTTTTTGAATTTCTGCTATAACAATCCTTATCTCTCCCCTCCTTCCAGTCCCCCCACATCACCCATCTGCTGAAGGACACAAGGTACTTTAGGTTGACTAAGGCCATATATACAGAAACATAAAATAGCATTTCCCCCAATGTCCCTGCATTAACATAGAATGATATATTAAAACTAACGAATGCTACTAGCTTCAAAAACATTGAGTCAAGAACACTTGAAAACACTCGACAGACATTTACGTTTATATAGTCCTTTATGGTTTATAAGATGCTTACCTGTAAATTACCTTACTGTCCTCAGTCAATGCAGCAGGTATTTCCATCTTCATCCGGAGGCCTAGGGGGTTAAACTCTTTGCCATCAGTATATATGATGTGGTGACAAATAAACAAACCTCCTGTTTTAAAATACATCTTTCCTATAGCACTGAAGGTAAAAGTTAAAATTAGGGACTGGGATAGACTCTCTTGATTTTTAGAAGAACCATCTTTCTGAGTCACTTTTGTCATGAAATGTATCAATAACAGGGGTGCACTATCTTTGGAGAACTCTGAATATTGGCAGCACAATCTCAATTCAAATGCTGCACGATGTCCTGTTTAAAGATGTGACCAGCACAACTCTGGCCGGGCTCTGCATTGCCAAGTGTAATACGACCAGGATTCATGCTTTGCCTCAGACAAGAACCAGAGACAGGTGGACATCAAAAACTTGAACTCTACTTGGGGGCAAAGCACAGGCCCCAGTAACATAGCACCATGCTAGGAACTACGGCCAGCAGAGGAATTAAAGGGAATGGGCAGCTGGTAAATTCTAGGAAAACAGAGTTGGAGGTGTATTTTTGTTTCTCTTGCACAAGGCAGTTTCCTAATGTTACCCTCAAGTGTCAGGAAAGTCTATTTAATTCATAGCCCTTTCGTAAGGCAGGATTGGAGGGAGCAGCTTTGTCTACATTCTTTGGCAAAACAGGCCAGAGATGATAACTACAGCGTGAAAGAGGGGCCAGAGACCTGCAGGAGGAGAGAGAGGAAGGGAGCTGAGCCTGAGCCCAGAGCTGAAGTTCTGAGGGGTGCAGGTGGGCTTGAGGAACATTCTAGCACTCCTTGGGGTTCTCAGAGATCCCGACAGTATCCACAGGGCACTCAGATTGCAGTAAAGGAAAGGGGACCTCCAATATACTGGAAATTAATTGGACAGAGAATTAGTCATCTTTATGGATAACTTGTACCTGTGACATTTGGTTTAGCCAAGAATAAATTATTATAGTTAAATATTATCTTTCTCATAGATGTCAGTTAAGCGGAATTAAAGAATATTATCATATAATCAAAAAAATGAATTTGTCTTTATTATTTTCTATTCTCAGAGCCATCTCTCTTCCCAGCCGTTCACAGGTCTGTGGGAATCATTTCTTAGTGAAGCACCTATTTTATATCCAACCAGAAGATGTCAGCCCAAGCTCAGTCATCTGGGCATTTTCCTGGACCACAGAGTAAGCTTTCCTTTTTCTGTCTCATCAGGAGGAAGTTTAAGATCCTGACAACCCTCAGGATCAGGTACAGTGACCATAGTGGCCACTTGCCCTGGAGCTCTTCATACATGAGACCCATGGCCTCTGTGGCTCTGAGCAGATGAACAATCTTTGGATTGTGGGCGCTAAATAAATAACAATTGATTGCTGAGCTCTAGTCACTTCAAAAGGGCCTCTGCCTAAGAGCAGTTTGCACAATCTCCGGAAGAGCCACCTTTCCTTCCCACAGAAGTCCCTAAGCCTGGGACGTGCTGGCATTTCCTGTACAAGAACAGGAAACAGGTGTCCTGACCCACGCGGAGAGGACACCGCATACCTACATCCAGTGAGGTGCATGAAGGCCGCTCCAGGACTGGCTCAGCAGCTGGCGAGGCCTGCGCGCATGAAAATGACTTTCGCACTTGCAACCTGCCCTCCCCAGTGTATCAGCAGAACCCCATGGAGCAAGATGCTTCTGGTAGCTCTAAGAATCACATTCTTGCCATAAAACAAAGAAGGCAAAGCAGGTAGGGGGTTGCTTTTCTTTCCTTGTGGATTTTTGTGAGGGTGGAAATAACCTTTTCCAGACACCTCCCAGCAGGTATAAGTTTACAGTTCACTGGCCAACCTGCCCCTGAAAAGGTCATCAGGAAGAGGAGAGGAGGGGCCATGACAGGTATAGATTGGTTAGACCCATCCCCTGGGGCATGACATTGCCCCACACTGAATAAAAAGGGGCTCCATTACCAAGGCTATTGGAAAGGCAGCTTGCAAAATCTGCTTCACAGATTAAAAAACTGATTTTTTTTTTTTTAAACCTGCCAAAAATCCATATGAGAATACACCCTATTATTAGTAAATCAATATTAAAAACATATACTGTCCAGGTAACTTATCATAGTGAAATCTTTTAAGTTTTGTGTAGCTCAATTGACTACTTGCAAAGATAATTTGTGAAAATTTTACTATTTTGATTGCATTTTGGGGCCAGTTCATTAAGTCACAATACAGTGGGGTAAAACAGAGATTTTCTATTTCCCCACTATTCATTACTTTCCTTGGAGTTCTGCTGAACCTCTCTGTCCAACCCCTTAGGGAACTCTTGGGCAGATTCCATAACCTTCTATCACTTTCAATTATCTATTTCAGTCTCATCTCTCCTCTTCTCCAGGCAAAGGCTCCACCTTCAGAATGTTCAGAATGGATGAGTTTGTGGGCTACTCTCTCCTTTCTTCCACTCCAACAATTTGAGGTTGGTCAGTGGGAAGACACAGTTCATCTTCTGGAGTCCCTCTTGGTGTTCTTTCTTCTAGCCTCCAGGTCCTCACTTGATGAATGAGGAACATTTAAGCTCAGAAAGTATTCAGTGACTTACAATCTTGCAGCTAGTAAATGGGACAGATGCACAGGTCAGTCTGATTCCAAAGCCCATACTTTTACCAATTATACTGCTTTTTATACAAATAGCAGTATCTGGTAAGTGGGACCAACAATCTGTCTGAATAATGAGTTTTAAATTAACTGACACCAAAGTAAAAAATTAATTAAAAAGGAGTGGCCACCACCAGTCATAAAGAGCACTCACCTTTTCCACTTAAAACCCACTCAGCCTATCCATTCCCCCCGGTGAGAGTCATTGAGAGTCCTCCGAACAGCGAAGAGCTGGAACATAACCTCCCCGTCAGGCTCGCTTGCAATTAGGAAGGGGCCTGAAAGCACACAGGAAAGGAACTGTAATAAAAGGTGAAAGTGAAACATCCTAGAACAAAGGCAAAGATCACATTTTAAAGGGACTCTGAAGCTCAGTTTCATGTCCTAGGAAGTGACAGTCTGAGCTGCGTCTAGGGAATGGACTGTAGAGATGAGCAACGTCAGGGAGGAATCGGAGGCTGGAGAACAGCAGCAAGCAAAGCAGAGGCAAGAAATCAGCCAGCAGTTTCGGGGAACAGACAGCTATAGCTAGTTTGGCTAGAATGTAAATTATGTGGAATTTATAGATGAGAGATTGGGAGATAAAATTAAAATTCAAGTAAGGGTCAGATCACAGAGAGCTTCGGTGTGGAGTCCAGGCAGTGACTGGGACCCCACTGAAAGAGTTTGAGCTGAGTGTTATTTCTCTAGAGTTGAGTCTTAGGACAGTGAGCCTTGGAGCCCTGTGTAGGATCAATGAAATGAGACACAGGAAAAGTAAAACTAGAAGAGCAAGCAGGCAACTACTACAGCTATCGTGGGAGGCATTAACAGAATAAATACTGCCAAGGACGTGGGGCAACTGGAACTTTTGCACACTGCTGTTTGAGTTAGAAAGCAGAACAATCATTTCTCAGAGTTTGGCAATCTTCTTATAAAGTTTAACTTTACCTTATGACCCAGCAATTTTATTCCTAGGCACTGCCCAAGAGACGTGAAAACACACAGCCACACAAAGACTTGTAGGAGAATATTTCCAACAGCCTCGCTCAAAATACTGAAAAACTGGAAACAACTCAAATGCCCACCAATAAAAAGTTAGGTAAATAAATTCAGTATATTCATATAATGGAATGCCACTTCACAATAAAAGAGATTGAACTACTGAAAGTTAATCTATGGCAATAGAATCAAATACTTGGTGTTGGGGGAGGGAAGTAGAGGGAGAATGGACAGAGAAGTTGTGTGAGGGAAATTCCTGGAGGGTGCAAATGTTCTGTGTATTATTTTTGGTGGTTACACATGTAATTGTCAAAAATTTGTCAATCTGAACATGTGATACTTCAGCATTTTATTTTATGTTAACTATATCTCAGTTTTTTAAAAAAAAATTCTAGGGCCCTGAAAATGTAACATCACTCAACTTTCCTGAAAACAAAAACCTAACAAATTAAAACACTCAAATACATTACCTGAGGAATCAATCTAAATAAAATAGCAGAGCCCGGCCGGGCGTGGTTCAGCTGTTGAGCATTGACCTAAGATCCATGAGATCGAGGTTCGATGCCCAGTCAGGGCACATGCCCGGGTTGCGGGCTCGATATTCCTCTCTCTCCCCCCTCCCTTCCTCTCTGAAACCAATAAAGATATATTAAAAATAAATAAATAAATAAATAAATAAATAAATAAATAAATAAATAAAAAATAAACTAGCAGACATACTGGATTTAAAAGGCCTAGAGGGGAGCAATAAAACCAATAAAAAGCTATAGTAAAGATGAAATTAGATGCTTAGATTTTTTAATTAATTAATCTTTTTTGTAAGAGATAATGCATGTTATAAAATTAATGCTTTAACAACAGCCTATATCTTTAATGCTAAGTTATGGTCAAAAATTCTGAGAATTCAGTTGAAAAAGGTAAAGCAGTGGTGTGTTTAAAAAAAAAAATCTATAATTAAAAGGAATAAAATCTTGTTGCAGAGAAAGTCAGTATTATGCTCAAGTGTTATATTTATACATTTAAAAATATTCATTGTAAACTCTTTTTAAAGAATTTTTTTTTCCAGTTAAATTCATGGTTCATGAAATCTGCTTTGGAATTAAAACTGATCTACTGCATTTATTTTTCACACTGAGAGTAATGCAGTGCTTACTGAAGTGTGTCCTATCTGTTAGGCAGATAGAGCTCAAGGAAAAAGCAGCACGTAGCTCTCTGTAATTAGCTTACGAAGAAAAATTAAATTACTATTCATCTCTCACCCAGATAAGCTCTAAGAAGGGTATACTTAATGTTACCTGTTTGAGGAGTCAGAAATTACACTTCCTGTTTAAAAGCAATATAGAAATCTGCAGAACTGTCTTTCTGGTGGCTTGCTTGGGGAGCAAAGTGAGTTACACTGGAAGTCCATTCAAGAAGGAAAATACAGCCTTCGCCATGTGTAACTCACGTACCTCTCTCAAGAAGAAAAGATAAGCTGTTACCTGGAGATGTCTTTTGCAGGGATAAGCAGGTGATAGTTCTGTGTAGAAATCAGATACAGAGTAGAGCGTGATATACCAAATGCAAACTCTTGAAATATGTTATGATCGTTTGGGTCTCCTCTGCTTCCCACTCTGGATACTTGTTAATTCTCTGAGCTTCTACTGCTCTAGGAGACTAGAACTAAATGGAATGATTCTTTATGGACAAGCGGTTGGATAAATAGTGGTAAATCTCTACAAGGAAATAGTAGACCGTTTATAAGTAGAGTGAATTAGATGCATATTGACATTGTGTAGTGTTAATATGTTAAATGAGAAGAAGCAAGTTTCAGAATGATGTGTGTTGTAAATATTCATCTTGGTAAAAACAAATCATGAGGGAGAATATCCCAATAAAGGATGTGAAAACAAGCCGGCAAATGCCATACCAGAAGAGTTAATAGTGGTGTTCAGATTTAAGAGGAAAACGTGACAGATCTGTTTATAATGCACATGCCAACTGCTCGAAGGAAACAGCTTAGGAAATGTATAAGAAAATGTATGTACTATGAAAGAAAATTTAGAAAAGATGAGTTAACATGGATGGATGGGTGGACTGATGGATGGAGAGAAGGCTAAGATTTGCCTCCTGTGTCCTCTCTCTCATAAAGACAAGTCAGAAATTCAAGTTCCCCAGGTTTCTCAGAAGCTCCTGGAGAAGTCCCAGCAGTGGCATTTAACCCACTCACAGGGGTCTTGTTTTTACTTCAGTTTGGAGGCTGCAGATTCCTTTTTTTTTTTTTAAATACCAGCTCACTAAGGGACTTAAATTTTTATTTATTTTTTATTTATTTATTTATTTTTTAAAGTCTGATGTTTTCTCTTTTTTTAATTTATTTTATTTATTTAATGAATATCTTTATTGACTTCAGAGAGAGGAAGGGAGAAGGAGAGAGATAGAAACATCAATAATGAGAGAGTCATCGATCAGCTGCCTCCTGCCCGCCTGGGACTGGGGATCGAGCCCGCAACCCGGGCATGTGCCCTGACCAGGAATCAAACAGTGATCTCCTGGATTCTAGGTCGATGCTCAACTACTGAGCCACACCAGGTCGGGCTTTATTTTTATTTTTTAAATATTCCATTCACCAATTTTATTGTTTCACTTGGGAGGATAATTCAGCATATGTAATATAATCTGGCCCCCCCCCCCCCTTCTTTCATCTTTACCAAATAGGCCAGTGCTACCTAATAGAACTTCCTGTGAGGAGGGAAATATTCCATATCTCCACTGGCCAGTATGGAAGCCACTAACCCCATGTTGCTACTGAGAACTTGAAATGTGATTCGTGTGATTAAAGAAGTACATTTTTATTTTCACTCGATTTTTTAAGTGTTTAAAATTTAAATTTATATAGCCACTTGAGTAGCAGCTATCCTATTAGACAGTAGAGAAATAGACCTCTACTCACCCATACATAAGTGCTCTTATGAGATATAACTAGTAGAATTACATATAAAATGGGAGATGGGATTTTTGGCTGCATGATTGACAATGCCACAGCCAAAGAAAAAATAGTAAAAATGAAAGTTTCAAAGAGAGCCAATATTCCTCCTGAAAGTAAGCTTCTGGCCTCAATTTCTTTATTTTTTGGTAAGGAAGAATTTTGGATGTGTGGCATCCACCTGACTATGTCAGAAAAAGGATTTAGCATAGTTTATGGGATTGCACAATTCAAAAATATAAACAGTACAGGAAATGGCAGGAGGCACGCCCCAAAGGTTTCATTAGGACGAAGCCTATCTCAGCTGCAGTGACCTGGCCTACCGACCCTAATGAGCTAGCTCTGACTCATACTGGCTTTTTGAATTCATGCCAAGGCCGGGACATGGTCACAGCCTGGCCCATACCATGTAGCGTCTTGTTTTTGTTATTTGTGGCACTGAACCTCTCCTTTCAACTTCAGAGAATCAGCCATTCAGCACTAGCCCCGCCCATAGAAGGAACACTCCCAGAGTTATTTCTACTAGACACACAAAGTTCATATTTCTTTTTAAGAATATGGCTGAATATTTAAACCATTCTTCTCTACAGAGTTGCATAGGACAGGCACAGTTCTGTGGAAAGAGCACTGGAATGGGTTCTGGGCCTCAGTTTCTCCAACTGCAAAAATAGATAGTTCTTCTACATCAAAATGAACTAATACAACTTAGAACCATACCCCAGATAATTGCGGTAAACTTTCACAACCTGGAAAATGTTGAAAACAGCCATTCCTATTTTTGTTTTTTATTAAATCTTTCACACACACACACAAATCCCTTATCACAGTCTAATTGGAAAGGTTCAGTTACCCAGGACTGACCCATGTAAACAGGTAGGAGATGGGACAAATTGGGGGTTCTGTTTCTATGCTGCTGGAACTTCATAATAGGTCATCTAAGGAAAACCAACCTGGTAATAGGTGTCTTGATGATGCTGGAGACTTTGAGGATGCAGTTCTGTGTCCAGCTTGTATAATTTGTCGCAATAGATCATGAGACTCCTCAATGGCCATAGAGAAGAGCAGCACTAGATTAGCAGGTCCAATGGGGATTCAGTAGATAAAGAGCTACTTCTCCCTTTGCTACATGTGGCTTTCCAACAGGCCATGGCAGATGGTAGTTTTGAGCTCTCAGTGTTGCTATAGGTATCCTCTTTCCACACCAATCATTACTAATCCTGTTTATCTTTTCTTTACACTTTATTCTCAATGGCTTGTTTTCTAGCTTAGGAAAACTTAAACACTCGTAATTTCTGAGAGTATTTCTGGGTCAGTTTCTGGGGGTGTTTCCTCTCTATAAGAGCAATGTTCTATTTGCCATTAACACGCATTTCACTTCCATGAGTGAAAACCCTTTTCATCTACAGAGTTTCTGACAAGGTAGAAATTACAAGATAAAGTTATTTTAAAATAGTATGTCACTTCTATTTTTAAATAACAGGTATTAAATGTAAAAGAATGGGTTTAATTGTTAGTTGGAAAAATACAATAAATACACCATAAAGTGTCCAAAAGTTTGGAAACATAGAAGAAATAGTACATTTATTGTACATAATTCAGATGGGGAAAGGCTGAGAGCTCAGTTAGCAAGTAACAGATTCAGATCTAGAATGCAATCCCATATTTTCTGCCTCCAAATCTGTGTTGCTTGTCTCACATTAGGTATAAGCTTCTCAAATCAGAACTAGCTCCCTAACACATTTCTATAATTTTTTCATTGAAAACTTATAAATAACAGGACACCAGCCAACCCACCTTGAAGGTGATTGGATAACATGGTGAAGATACTTTTAATGGATGATGCAAGAGTCTAAATAAGCTTTCCTCACTTTAAGGTAAAAAAAAAAAAAAAATCATTATCTTTTCATTATTTTTCTTAAAGAATTTTCTGAAAATATCTGTATATTTTTCCAAAAATAAACCACCTTTTTAATCCTGAAGCCCAGTCTGTGTATGACTTAAGTTCATTCTATGACATTAAATATATGTGCACATCAGTGTCCTCTGATTAAAATAGAGAACTAATTGCAGGGTGCTGCCATGTTTAACCTGTTTATACAGCATATGGCACAGTACCTTAGCAGCTTCAATGATATACGCTTAAAGAATCTTCAAATGTTTGGGATGGATGAGAGTTTATAATAGGCTACTTCCAACCTCCTCACTTTACAGATGAAGAAACTCAGCCTTATTAATTCATTCAGCAAATCTTTGTTGAACACCTACCATGTGTCTTCCATAGGATTCAGTACACTAAGTGGAAAAAAAATAAATCAACTCGAAGAAGTTAAATGATTGCCCAAGAACACTCACAGCTCCATGCCACACCTGGGATAATGATAACTGGAGCAATGGGGATCAGAGAACACATAAGATTTAAGTGAGATTGCGCAGGTCTGACATTATTTATGAAGGTGTTAATGGTAAGAAGCTCAGTGAATGCAAACTCAGTGAGTATCAAGGGAAGGAAGTCTAGGGAAAGTTTTTAAATATTAAAATCAGAGGACTTCAAAGAAATATTTCAAAGCTTATATAGCAATGCCGCTTATATTGGAGGAACATGGCCTCGTTGAACAGTTGAGCATTTAACAGAGTGACCTTAGAAAAATACAAGCTTTGGGGTGGCATGGTGTCTTGCGAACTCAAAATGGATCAAGGGGCTTTGCAAGAATATAAATGACAGACATTCATTCAAGGGTCTTAGGGTTTGCAAAGTGAAACAATCTAGGTAAGACATAGACATATTCCAAAAGAGAAAGGAAAGCGAGTTTCTTACGGTAAAAAGTCTACTCTTGAGAATATTCAGTCTTGCATCTTTCTCCCTTGGATGGTTCCAAGATGGTAATTTTTAGATGTCTAGTGGCTCGGCTAATGGAACAGTTTCTTCTTGAGGTCATTCAAATGGTAAACTGAGGGTTTGATGTCTGCCCAGGCATTAACACGCAACGTGATGGGCATCCAGGTATTGACACAGGGCTGAAAAATTCAGAAGTTTAAATTCCTAGACTAGTGAAGGCAAGACTAGAATCTTTTCTTCATGCATCAGCCTATTTATTTTAATAATTTCACAGCTTGACCATAGTAGCCCCATTTTACTTCTTCACACTATTTCTCAGGAAATATACGCCATATATATTCCCACTTTGTTTTCCTTTGGTGAGTGTATTTACTCAGGCAGTTTCCACAAGAACTTCGCTACAAACAACTCACCTCACACATATAAACAAGAAACAGGGGGGCTTAGGTGTGGAATGTCACACCCTCTTGCTATAATTCAAGACACCACACCAAGGGAGTTACTAAACTAGGGCCTTAGGTAGATAGAAAGAATTAACGAGGAATTAGTGTTCAGAAGTGTCATCCCTTTTTCATATGCTATTGAGTAGGGGAGGTTGCTTCTCAAACTTCCGGATAAAACTGTGTGTGCACCTTCATTCACAGGGTGAGATCTTGGAGAATTATCTTAACCTCTCTGGATGCAATTTTATATTCATAAAATAAGAATAAAATATCTGCCTTTTTCTCCCTCATACAATTGTAAGATATAACCTCATAAAGTAGAAATTACAATACAGATCTATATTTCTATTTTATTAAAATTAGCCTAATTAAAAAAACAGAAATTATCACTTAAAACTTCAATGAGTACTGGAAACAACCTGGTGAGAAATGTCAGTAAGCTGGCAGAATAAGAAGTCCCAGTCCTGATGCCCCACCAAAACAGATCTCACAGTGATAAAATATCTTTATGAGAGGTCGAGTTCACATTAAGCCGTTACAGTACTCAAGATGAGCACACCTGTTAGATGGTAATTATAAAAAAAATGTTTTTAAGGTAAGTGTTGCCGAGGATATGGAGATGTTGGAATCCTTCTACACTGTTAATGGGAATATAAAATGGTGAAACTTCTATGGAAAACAGTATGGGGCTTCCTTAAAAACTTAAAAATAGAATTATTGTATGACCCAACAATTTTGCTTCTGTGTATTTATTCAGAAGAAAATGTCCGTTCTACCCAAAACAACCTATAGATTCAACGCAATCCTTATTAAAAATACCAATGACATATTTCACAGATCTAGACAAATACTCCAGAATTTTATATGGAACCTAAAAAGACCCTGAATAGCTGCAGCAATCTTGAGAAAGAAGAACAAAGTTGGAGGTATCAAAATATTGGATATCAAACTATACTACAAAGCCATTGTAATCAAAACAGCCTAGTACTGGCACAGAAACAGGCATGTAGATCAATGAAAAGAACAGAGCCCAGAAATCGACCCACACCATTATGGTCAATTAATATTTGGCAAAAGAGGCAAGAGCATACAATGGAGTAAAGATAGTGTCTTCAATAAACTGTATTAGGAAAATTGGACAAGTATATGCAAAAATATGAAACTAGACCCACCTCACACCATACACAAGAGTAAACTCAAAATGGATGAAAGACTAAAATGTAAGTCGCAAAACTATAAAAATCCTAGAAGAAACCATAGGCAGTAAAATCTCAGATATCTCACATAGTGGAATTTTCACTAATACCTCTCCTAGGACAAGAGAAACAAAAAAAAAATAAACAAATGGGATTACATCAAACTAAAAAGCTTCTGCATTGCAAAAGAAATGATCATCAAAATGAAAAGGGAACCCACTGTGGGAGAACATACTTGCCAGCTATACAGCAATAAGAAGTTAATTTCCAAAATATATAAAGAGTTCATACAACTCAACAAAAGGAAGACAATCCAATTAAAAATGGGCAAAGGACCCGAATAGACACTTCTCCAAAGAGGACATACAGATGGCCAAGAGACATATGAGAAAATGCTCAATGTCACTAATCATCAGAGAGATGCAAATTAAAATCACAATGAGGTGTCACTTCACACCTATCAGAATGGCTCCATCAATACATCAACAAACAGCAAGTGTTGACGAAAAAAAGGGGAGCCCTAGGACATAGCTGGTGGGAATGCAGACTGGTGCAGCCACTGTGGAAAACAGTATGGAGTTTCCTCAAAAAATTAAAAGCGGAACTGCCATTTGACCCAGCAATCCCACTTCTAAGAATATATCCTAAGAATCCAGAAATACCAATCAGAAGGAATACATGCACTCCCATTTTCATAGCAGCATTATTTACAATGGCTAAGACCTGGAAACAGCCCATCAGTAGATGAGTGGATAAAAAAGCAGTAGTACAGTACACTTACCCAATGGAATACTACGCAGCTGTGAAGAAGGATCTCTTACCCTTTGATACAGCATGGAGGGCCCTGGAGAGTATTATGCTAGGCAAAATAATCCAGTCAGAGAAAGACAAATACCACATGATCTCATTTATATGTGGAATATAATGAACAAAATACTGACGAACAAAATTTGTCCGGAGGCATGGAAGCACGGAACAGACGGACAGATCTCAGAGGGGAAGGGGGTAGGGGGTTGGAGGGATAGGAAGAGATTATAAAGAACTTATATGCATATATGCATAGCTCATGGACACACACAACAGAGTGGTAAAGGCCTGGGGTAGGGCTGGGGCTGGGTGAAGGGGAGCAAAGGGTGGGGAAATGTTCACATTAGTCTTTCTCTTTTTCTTGTTCTCATTTAGCAGTTTTAGGGATAGATCTAAGTAATTCCTCATCATAACTACAAAATGTTTCATTTATGGACATCTCACAACGTGCCCAGTGATTGCACAGCTAATGGACATTCAGGTTGTGTGCAGGTTTGTTTGCGTCTGCATGTTTGCTTTCCCACTAAAAACAATGCCGTGATATATTTGTACAGGTATCTTTGAGTCCTGGTACTTTAATTTACATAGAATAGATTCTTAGATCTAGCCTATGCAAGATTTTGGGGTCAAAGGGTTCATGCATTTTTATTTCACCAGTTAATGATTGTTTGTTTTCCAAAGATCGTAGCAATTTTACACCCACCATCAATGCATGAAGATGCTCCTTTCCTTGAACCATTGCCAACACTGGAGGCTGCTGTACTTCAACAAATTTTTTTTCATTCTCATAGCTGTCATTGACTTTTAAATAATTTTTTAAAAAGGTCTGTAATTTTTTATTCCTTTGTACTCTAAAAGTCCTGACTTACTGTCATAAGAAGTTCATTTTAAATAGTAAAGTTTACATGTTTGATTTTGCCCATCAGATTTTTATTACAATAACAATTTTACAACACAACAGATATAGAAAGCAACCAACATCCGTCCATAAATATTTTCCAGTTCTTGTCCATATGCATTTGAGTTTTATAAAGATATGGCTCTAGCATAGTACAGTTTGACACTTTCAATTTTTACTAGACATTTCAAGATAAGTATTTTCCTTGTTGTTATGGAGTCTTCCTATTTTAATACCTGCTTACTGTGTCATGGTTAGTATCTATAAGCTAATTAATGATTCATCTGTTGTTGGATGTCTGAGTTGCTTTGTGGTTTAATAATTACAGATAACTGTGAGAATACTCACAAATACAAAATCATCCTTTTTAAAGCAGATTTTTCTTGGATAAATTACCAAGAACAAATGCAATAAATGTGTTAATGGATTTTGAGACATATTGCCAAATTATTTTCCCCAAGTGTGGAAAATAGTTTATGCAGGCACAAGCAAAGGACTAGATTTCAGAATGACATTCAAAGATCTCTAACTAAAGACCCAGCAATCTTTCTTTTTAATGAGTTGTTAGGGGTTTTGTTTGTTTGTTTATTTTTACATTTTAAAACTATTCTATGATATTATAAACAAGGTTTATCCTTTGGAGAGGTAATAGAGAGAGAGCAAGTGGGATTCCATGGCCCTGGTTATGTTCTGTTTATTGATTTTGGAACCAATTAGTCGAAGGAGTTCAGTTTGTGAAAACTAGGAGAGCAGGACACTTAGGGTTTCAGCTCTTTTCTCTGTGTGTTACACATCAACAAATGTTGAAGGACTGCATTTTAGGGATTTCATCGGAACGTCTGTCACATTGCAGAGAGACGCATGAGCATGCTGGATCATTTTGCCAAGCACCACTCTGGATTGGAATTGGGTATCTGTATATGCTCATATTTTTTGTACAAACCATCAAAGATGTTCCGAAACACCAGGTCTGTGGGTATTAGAAAATTGCTTCAAGTCCCAGATAACCAAACATTCTTCGTTTTCCCCCTGTGTTCTGTGTTAGCAGCAGTCTGACTGTGGCACGTTAAGAAAACTAGGAGCTTACTGTTTCTCAAAATAAACTTCGAGGAACTTACCTGGTGAAAAAGCCCAGGGAGGCTGAATGACTGCTCCGAGGAACACAGCTAACTAACCGGTGGCAGAACTGCAACCAAACCCAGGTCCTCAGTTTACCGTAACAGAGATTTTTCCATTGTAGCAGGTTGCTTTCTGCCTGAGACAAGCATCAGATGAAATAGCTGTTGACTGAAGTCCTTCAGAGGACTCCCAGGGGAGCTGGTTTCAGTTCTCTGAATCTGTTTTTAGCTCTCCCGAGGTGTCCCCAGCCCTGCTTTTTTGTTACCTCCCAACACATACTCTCATCCCTGGAAAAATATGTACTTTTGTGCTTTGCACCTGCTGCCTCCTTCACCTAAAAAATCCTCCTGTGTTCCGTTTTTTTATGTATATTATCTCGTTTAAAATATTCCACACTACAGTCTCATAAAGTAGGCTTTACAAGTGTGTCCAAGAGCACACAGATACTAAATGTGCACCCGGTTCTGTTTAACTGCAAAGCCCGTGCCCGAACCACTCCTGCTACCTCTGTTCCCGCATTCACGGCTCTCATGAGTCCTAACAGTCACCCACACACCCGCACAGCAGTGTCTCATGTGCCCTTCCCTGCAACCCTTTGAGCTGAGCATTATTGTTGTCCCCATTTGCAGATAAATGAACAGAAGCTCAGAAAGTGTGGCTTACCCGAGGTCACACCACAATTATGGTCCAGACCACATAATTTAGTCCCTGATTCTCTATTATCTTTTAGTTAACTATGTAAGTGTTTATTGAAGCCTTACTTGAAGAGCATTAAACTAGATACTCTGAGATGTAGATTGTTTGTAAATTGCTCCCTCTGTTAGATATATATTTTATATACCTAGTTTATAATATCCTAAATAGAATAGAGCTCATCCTGCTTGTCAGCTTCCCACTGCTTAGATCAGCCTGGGGCCCAGAGTCAGTAAGTATGTACTTCCAGGCTGGTTAACAGGACAGCCATTTCAACTGGTGTGCAGCAAGAATTTTTAAAACATGCAATACCTGACTGTTTAGTCAGGGGCACTGACTTCTTTTCCCTTCGATTGTTAAATTAATAAATAACAACAGCCGGCACAACAATAACCCTCCAGTGTGAATGCCCTGTCTTGAACCGTAAATACATAGGCCATATAATAGCGTTGTCTCCTATTGGTCAAATCACATCATAAGGTTGCATCTGACTGGTTAATTCTTGGTACCAGAAATCCTTGTTTACAAGTATGGGCGCCTGATTTTTTAAAAAGTCACTTTGGAGCAAAAAAGGTAGGTAAGTACTATTATTTTTTTGTAAATCAACCAAAATTACATCTATTTTCTGTCAGACTGACAAAAAAATATATTTTTTGATGCACTGCAGAATTTTAGTAATTAGTTTATGTGCCATGAGGTGAAAAAGGTTGAAAATTGCTGCCTTAGGATCTTCTAATCTTAGCTGCCAAGACAGCCAGATGCCAATCAGCTACCGAACATTCTCAGCCTGAAGCTGAGGGTCATTCGTTTTCTGGTCACCCTTATCTCCCTTCTTGGAAAAAAAAAAGCTCATTTAAGACTTTTTATTTAAACCAACACTAGGTAACAAGTGGGAATCCAACCTCCCCAAAACATACAGAAAATCATTGACTGGTTTGCCATTAGAAATTTTCCCCTAAAGTTATGGTAAATATGCCAAGTTTCAGGGGAAGAACACAATTTTTAAGTATTAACGATTCAAAAATGCTTTGCATTAGTGCAATGGCACCAAAAGCACAAGTGAAAAAGAAAAACAGATCCATTAAGCCTCAACAAAATCAAAAACTTTTGTGCTTCAAAGGATACCACCAGGAAAGTCAAAAAAGCAGGGATGTAAAGTACAGGGCAGGGAATATAGTCAATAATATTGTAACAACTATGTATAGTGCCAGGTGGGTACTGGGTTTGCCAGGGTGACCACTCAGTGAGTTATGTAATGTCTAATCACCAGCTGGCACACCTGAAACTAATATAATATCGTATGTCAACTGTAACTTAAAAGTAAAATAAAAAACATCACCCCCACACACATAAAAAAAGAAAGTACAAAGACAAACTACGAAATGGGAGAAAATATTTGCAAATCATATATAAGATACTTGAATCTAGAATATATAAAAAGTTCCTAAAACTCAATAATAAAAAGACAGAACAATTTAAAAATGTGCAAAGGACTTCAAAAAATTCGTGGACTCAGACAACAGTGTGGTGATTGTGGGAGGGGGGGTGAAAAGCAGTAGGTGGAGGAGGGTATGGGGCGGATAAATGGTGATGGACAGAGGCTTGCCTTTGGGTGGCGTATACACAATACGGCGTACAGAGGATGTGTTGTAGAATTGTGCACCTGAAACGCATAATTTTGTTAATCAGTGTCACCCCAAGAAATTCAATCTAAAGGAAAAAATTAGAAAAATAAGACATAGAATCAATAAGCTCATGAAAAGATGTGCATTAGTCCTGACCAGTGGCTCAAAATGTTGCAGGTTCATTTCCTGCTCAGGGCACATACCTAGGCTGTGGGTTTCGAGGATCTCCATTTCTCTCTCTCCCCCCTTCCTCTCTCTCTAAAATCAATAAAAACATATCCTCTAATGAGGATTAAGAGAAAAAAAGAAAGGAAAGATTCGCAATATTATTTTCCATCAGGGAAACGCAAATCTAAACCATAGTAAGATACTACCTCATATCTACTACAACAGCTATAATCAAAAACACAGATAATTGCAAGTTTTAATGAGGATATGCAAAAATTGGGAGCCTCATACATTGCTACTTGCAATGTAAACAAGGCGGCCACCTTGGAAAACAGTCTGGCAGTTCCTCAAATGTTAAACATAAAGTTAACATGTAGTGCAGCACTCCTTATATACATATCCAAGAAAAATGTATTTCCACATAAAAACCTGTACACAAATGTTAATTGAAGCATTAGTCATAATAACAAAAAGTGGAAACAATCCAGATATCCATCAACTGAGGAATGGACAAACAAATGTGGTCTGTCTATAAAATAGATCTATTATTCAGCCATAAAAAGGAACGAAGTAGTGGGGGGGAAAAAAACACAAACACTACAAAAAGACATAAAGTGTATGATTCCACTGATATAAAATGTCCAAAAAGTGTATAACAGTAAAACTGTAAAGAGAAAAAAAAGAGATTAGTAGTTATCTAACTACAAGCAAATTAGGGGAGAACAGAGGGAGAAATTGGGAGAAAATAAGGAGTGACTACTAATGGGTATGTAGTTTCCTTTTAGGGTAGTGAGATCTTCTAAAGTTGATTGTGGTGATGACTACACAACTTTTAGTGTAGTAAAAACTATTGGATTGTATTCTTTAAATGAGTCAATTGTATGGTATATAAATTACATACAGTAACTTAATTAAAAATAATAAAGGACAGCCTTGGAAATGTCCAAAACAGAAGAAAACATTTGACGTCATGCTCCTGCATTCCAAACAAGCCTCGTGTAACTGATGTATATCTCCCTTGTGGCCTGTTTTCGTGACTTTTTCCCTAAGTCATTATATATGTGTGATTGCTTCATGGTCATCATCAGGTTAACATGGCAAGAACTAAAAACCAACTCATGGGAAGTGAAGTGAGGAAAAACTCTCAGGTTCCCAGAACTGGAAAAACACATTAAATATAGATTTGGCGTGTCTCCAGCTAAAGTTTCCTGCACCAGTTCACTCACAGAAAGAAAAAAAAGATGCAGCCACTTGGAAGAGGAGACAATGGGATTAAAAGTGTCAACCAATATCTTCGGGGGATTGAACACATTCTGGGTTCTGGGCAACAGACACAACAGACACCCTGCTCAAGGGTCAAAACCCAGTTAGTATGCAATCCTCCCCTCCCCACCTCCAGTCAGAGTAGACTGAATTCATCGCTGTGTGTGTGTGTGTGTGTGTGTGTGTGTGTGTGTGTAAGCCTCTTCATGTGCACGTCAGAAGAAAATTCTGGGGGAAAATGAACCTAACTATAACACTAGTACAAATGATTTCAAGATTCTATGCAATGAATGTTATCCAGCAATAAAAATAATGATAATTATATGCAAGCTGATGGGAAAATCTCTCAATCATAATGTTGAGCCAAAGAAGCCAGACACACATAAAAACTATATTCTACATGGTTCCATTGATATAAAGTCAAAAAGAGGCCCAACTAATCCATGCCGTTGGAAGTCAGGAGAACGGTTATTCTTGGGAAAGTCTGCACTGGAGGGAGCATGGGCCAGATTCTAGGGTGCTGGTAACATTCTGCTTCTTGTTTGAACAAAGGATCCACATTTTCGTTCTGAACCCGGCCTGCAAATCAAGGAACTAGTTAGTCCTGCTCCTAGGTCTATCCATGTGACATACAAGGTTGGACATAAGCAGGTTTACAGTTGTGAGTACATGAAACACAGTTTATTCTTGTCTTATCATTAATTAATTGTATTGTTTTCCATATGAACAACTGTAAAATTACTTTTGCCCCACCCTGTATTTTCTGTCTGGAAATTCAAGAAAAAATCTTCACAGCATCTCCACACAGTATCATAAATCATGAGTTCAGGGCAGGAAAAAAAAATCAATGAAGACAAGTCAGTCCGAGGAAAGTAAGGATTCTTATGTACATTATAAGAAGTGGCCTAGCACTGGTGCCATTCGACCTCGAATCATGCCCCTCTTGTCTATCTCATGGCTTGCAGAGGGAAGAAAATGGAAAGTAATCCAGATGGACTGAATGAACTTGGGTACCGACAGGAAACATTATCTCTACGCTTTTTCTTTCCACAAAGAAGAATTCATTTGGTCACCAAATACTAAGTAGTTGTGATGTCTCATTAGTTTCTTTTCTGAAAACATTACATTTTTTAGTTTTATGCATTTTTTAAAATTTTACAAGTCCAGGTTTTGCCTTCACAACCAGATCGTTGAATGTTAGTCACTTAAATAGCATATATCCCTTGACGCAAGTGACACCTATTACCCAATGTCCCCCAGGCTGCCTTCTATTAAGCAGGGATTCCAGAGTTAACTGGCTGACCGATCTTGATTTGTTATCAAAGCTCCTTTGAATCGAAGTCTCCGAAGTTAACAGTTTGCTTTTTCTTGAGAAGGCTTAAA